CTCGAATCGGCCGTGTCACGCCCTTGCTAACTGTTATTCCTTTGTGTCAGCTGCACCCACATACAATAAATGCTTTACAAGGACTTCGGCAATTTCTTATTGACAGACCGCGCGGCGTCGCCTTTATAGCTGTTGCCTGTCACACACACACACTCACACACACGCAAACAAATCGCATAATTTCTGCTTGGCTAGCTCTTAAATTTGATTATAATTTTCTTGAATGATGCTCACGAAAATATGTCTTCATTTTTTTTCGCTTTTTTTTGTTTTTTTTTTTTTTAATTTTTAAATTATTTTTCTTTGCTTCTTCGACAATTCGAAAATTCAAACTGCACGCGTTGGTTACCAGCTCGCAACTGATGGCAGTGCCTCAAAAGATTCGCTGTCTACGTCGACGGCAACGCCAGCAGCACCAATAACAACGTCTACAACAACAGCTGGATGCGTGTGTGTGCGTGTGAGTGTGAGTGTGTTAGTTTATGGCGCAGCTCTTGCTGGTGAACAGCCAATGCCTGGCCAGCGCTAGCTGTTTGCTTAGCCACACGGTAAGAGCGTCAGCCCAAACAGTTGGGAACAACAATAGCCGGCCGGTCACCAGGGTGACAGCTGGCTGTGCCGCACAGCTGGATATAGTCGCTGTATGGTGCTTAACTTCACTGATTAACTGTTGCGTCCGGCAACCGGCAACCGGCAGCGGCAGCGGCGACAGCGGCGACGGCGATGGCGGCGGCAGAAATCAGCTAGCAAACGCCAGCAAACGAAATAAACACAAATTCAGTCAGACAATGGCACGCGCTGCTTTACCCATTCGCCAGAGCCAGTGCCAGTGCCCACTGCGCCCCGGCCCCGGCCCCGTTTCGCACAGTTTTATTGTCTGGAGGTCGCTTATCGCAACAGTTTTATCACACACCTTTAGAGCACTGTGGCGCACCGCAGCGAGGAGTGGGTCTGGATTGGCGAAGCAGCTGTTGCCGTCGCGCCCGCTGCTCCGGGTTAAGCCCGGCAACGACAGCCCATTTACATGCCTATCATTGCCAGCCAGAGTCTGGGCCATTCACCTGTCACAGCCAGCTTGACGAGCCGATGTTGACGTTGACGTTGATGGCGGCACCGACGCCAACGCCAACGCCAACGCCGACAGCGTCACAGCTGCGGCTTAATTGTCGCACAGCGTTTGCGTCGGCCACGCCTCAGTGGGCCGTCATCGAGTACAACAACCATTTGACGAGATTAAACATGAATTAAGCAGCGCCTGAAAAAACACAAGCAAAATAAAACTCAGCCAGAGAGCAGCCAGAATAAACACAATTTCACAAAAAGCAAAAGATAAAGAAATAAAAATCAAGTGAAATCATATAGATTTAATGTGGAACACGGCGCATTTAATGTAGTCCTTAATCTTTAATGAATCCTCTCTAGCTGCAAATACGATTTTAATTTCCCCTACCTTATTTAAACAGCATTCGCAACTTTGGCCCAGACTCTACGACTCGCTTATCATCTGCCGAAATATGCATAGAATTTCGCAGTCTACTCTATTTGTGCGAACTGTGCGAGCCTAATATTGCCATGAAATTTCCAATATATGCTGCATACCTTAAGGCGCACCGAATCCAATAAGATTGCTGATATTCGCATGTGTGTAGCATAGATATCAAAGCATTCGGAATTCGAGTAAATAGGAAATGCATATTAAAACCAGAATCTGTACTGAGAAACCATATAGAGTTCAATCTAGTTCTAGCCTGCTAACAAAATGCGCATTAAAGCTGGATTGCCACGCAGAATTCAATTTAATTTACAGACTCTATTTATGAATTTAAATTTCTGGCCGCAAAGCTCAAAATTCACAATTAGCAGCAAGTCAAATACACAAACTATGAAATTCTGTGGGTTTTTCATAAATATATTAATATGTTTTCGGATAAAAACAACAGTAAATCACGTAATATGTTTGCTAAGCCTAAAATGAAAAGCGAGAATTTCAAATAAATTAACATGTGAATGAATGACAGCCTAACACACTACATACGCACACACACACACACACACACGCACACATAAAAGATTCTTGAGCCGCATAACATTTACTGCCTGGCTCACTTTTAGCCCAATTTCTGGCTGTTGTAAAAAGTTAAGCAAACAATTTTGTTATGCCAAAACTTTCGATGTGATTGAAATGTTTTGAAACGAGCTACAATAAGAGCATACACACACAAATACAAATACAAAATAAACATACATACAGACACATAAATGTATATATATATATATGAAAAATGCTTTGCCACGTTGTCGGGTCGGGCATTTTCATTTTTTGGCATAATCATGTGCAATACCTTATTTTTAGACAGATATTTAGGGCTAGTGTTAATGGCAGCACAACAGTGGGCGCCACATGCAAAATAGTCAACACAAAATTTAATAATTGTATATAATAGCCCAATCCAACTGAAAAGCGGATATACTTTCGATCCATTTCCACTTCATTTGCATTTAATTGGAACTCATGTTTGAGTGAATAATTTACTATTTCGCCCATGGTGGGCTAGCTTGCTTGGCGAACTCTATTGTCATTCTGCAGACACTTGATGCTCAAAATGATGGATTATCGTCTTTCCCGTGTCGTCGTAATATTTTCATATTACATTATTTCGAGTCCGCATCCATTATGTCTGCCTGTGGGTTGCGGCTGGGTTCCTGTTGTTGTTGTGGGGCCACAGAACAGAATTAATAAATGTAAATCGGCAGGAAGTTGTGCAGAAGGCGAGGCGAGTCCTTAAACAGTACTAACAGCCGCATTAATCGGCATTTCTCCGAAAAAAGGGTTCGGCCGAGCACAGCTTTTGCTATTTAATCATTCAAATTGACTTTCTTGCCTGATGGCCGTTAATTTTGAAATCCCTTTTAAAAAAAAACGCTACTCTCATTTTCTGGGCTTTCCTTTCATGCCTGGCCCGTAACTTTGTGTTCCGCTCGAGGCTTATAAGTTTATACCCTCTACTCCATCCATTTTTACCATCTTCTTCGTCTTTTTTCGCGAATTTGTTCCTTTGTCTTTCGCGCCGGAGCGCGCTTAGAGCGCGCTGAGTTTGCATTTGGCTTTCCTTTTAGCATTTTCCACATCCCTTTTTTTTTATTTTTAAGTTTTTAATCAAGATGTTTTAAATGCGGTTCGCCGCTGAATGATGGATTTTTTCACTCTCCATCTCCCTTTCGCTCTGTCTCATTTCTTTTTTTATTTTTTTTTATTTCTGCGCAAAGTAAACAGAAAGTTGGCGGTGTGTTTGGCAAAGATTTATGCAGATAATAAAATGAGTCTTCAAATGTTTAATCAAGTTTTGAACGGCCAGCCCCTTTCGCTGCTTCTGTGTCCAGCTTTCAGTTTTTAGCTTTCAGTTGTGCAGCTTCCAGTTTCCAGCTTGTGCTCCGTAATTAAGGCTCTCGTCCTTGGCGAAAATCTATTCACTGCAAGAGCAACTTTTCAAAAGCAATATAAGCCTGGGGTAAAAACATGTCAAGGACTGCGTCCATTCAGCTCACATTAAAGCCAATGCTTAGAAAAGATGGCCATAAGATCGCAATGTCCACAATTAGCTGCACGGCGCTTCTAGTGCTTCAAAATATTTTTCTGCAGCCAAGTACCATTAACGTTGGCAATGGCAACAGCAACAGCAACAGCAACAGCAACAATCAGTGCTGCAAATCCTATTTACTATAGACCGTGCCCAGGTGCTCCGTGCGTCACAATGAAATGTCTCAAACAATGGTCCAACGTAGTCATAACTGGAAAGAAACTAAAATAAACCAAACTTAACTAAACTAAATGCTGCTTCCGCACGGACAAACAGCTGCAACTTGTTAGACGTCTAGCTGTCGTTGCTTTTATTTGAGCACCCTATGCAGTTGCTAAAAAGGGCATGATAGTCTGCTGAGTAAATTACATATCTAAGACTCTCTACAAGCTCAACTATGCAGCACTCTTGAGCCTAAACAAAATGGATTTTGCACAAATTAATAAAAATAACTGGAAGTATAGGGGGTCTTAGCATTCCTTACAACTCCAAGAACATGCCAACAGTCCGATATAATTAATCATCTAAATTGTGAAGAACTGAAAGGTATAAGATATTTGTCTTTGTGCTATTTGAATCTCAAATCACGTTCATTAAATATTCAATTACTAATTTAATTGTCTGAGCTGACTAAAAAGACTTCAAGCTTTTTTTAACATACAAATAAATTTAAAATAAAATTTGTTTGAATACAAAATTAATAATTATAATAAAAAATTGTTTGCAATTCAGTCACATTTCTTTTAATATTATAATTTTAATTTTATTTCTATTTTTTAGGAATTGAATTTTAATAAAATTATAGATATTTACAAACGTAAATAATAAATAAAAAACTTAAATTAAAAAAAATTAATGATTTAAATATTTTTATCTTTATATTATCCACTTTATGCCGAATCATTTTAAGTTTTTCACAAGTGCTTTATATGGATATTTAATAATACCGATTTAAATATAAAATATTTTTATATTTAATATTTAATATTAACGCAAATTTATATTGAATATTCATATTTTAATGCTAATAACAACAACACTTAAATCATTAAAAACTTGGCCCTTTGCACCATTATTTATATTGAAGAAATCATTTATAGCGCGCATTGCAGCCAGTCATTTAGCCAGGTTTCTTGTTTTCTATAAGCTGTCATGAAAAATATGATTTTACGCGCTGTTCGGTAGTCGCCACAGCCTCCGCCTCCGCCCACGACGCAGCCGCCGCCACGTCGCCAGAATGGGCAGATTTGCGGGCGTAGCCGACGGCGCCTGTTGCCGTGATACCGTAAAATAAATGTTGCTGCCCCACAATTGCAGCAATTGCTGGCGGCGCACAGTTGCCGTCATATTGTCAACTCCGGCCATTGTGTTGTGTTGTGTTCCGCTGCTTTTTCCCCTCTGTTTCGTTTGTGTGCAACAAAATTAGCTTTTACGCTTTATTACCGCAAAGATGGCTAAAGAAAACAATACTCGAGTTGAAATCTGTTCGGCCTGCAGGTTGTCCGACAGGCCATGCTGCCCGACTGCTCGGCTGCCGGCAGTCTGCCAGATCTCGGTGCATTTTGCATTCCTTGGGTTTTATTGTGTTGCCGCCGCTTTTTTGTCGTCAGCATCCGGAAGCTCGCCGGGCAGTCATCAACTCAATTACATTTGCGACCCGCGCGGCGACTTTGATGTTGCTCCGAGCCCCCAACCCAGCTCACAGCACCCACAGCAGCAGCCACAACAACAACAACAACAACAAAAAATGCAAGAGCGTCGCATTGTTCGAGCAGTTGACTGATGCCGTAGACTTCTAAACAATACGCGGCCCGTTGTTGTCTTTTATCTGTCTGCAGCTCCATTGTGCGCTGTCGCGTGTGACGGATGCGACAGGAAGCGTGCGAAGTCTTGATAGCAAAACGTAGACTCTACAAAAACACAACACACAGCATTTCCTCTCCATCTCTCTTTCACTCGCTCTCTCTCTCTCTCTTCGTCCATTATTTAAAGCCTCCCATGGCGATAAACTATGGCAACTGCGGCAACGGAAATATTTCACAGAGATTAGCACAACAAGCCAGCGTTTTGATTAGTTGCCAACGGCCGGGCGACTGTGGCTCAATCTGCAGGACATTAACGGGTTTAGCTTTGTGCCTGAATTTCCAATGCAAATTGAAATGATTGGGAGACCGCATGTGGTCGGCAATGGCTCAGCAGTAGCTGATCCTTGAGCGGATTATCCAGGCAAAGATGCGTCCCAGCATGCTGCAGCTGTGTGTTGCGCCGCAGCCATTGCTGCCCCCCCTGCCCGGCACGACAGGGCTCTAAGCTCAGCTGCGGCTGCTTTGCGGCAGCATCGACAGCCACGCAGAGCCTCTGCTCGCTGGTGCTCAGTTGTCCGCTCTCCTGATGCAAATGCCACTGCGTGACTTGCAGGCCATGGCAGCTGGCCAGCTGCAGCTGCAGCTGGGGCTCCGTGCCAGCCACATGCAGACAGCGGTCGGCGTTGCGCAGGGTGCCGAGGGCGCTGAGGTTCGCGTGCTGCAGCCTGCCAGAAGAGAGCAACGGGTAAAAGTTGATTGATATGGAGCTATCGAATGGAGCTATTGAATTCCCACATTAGTTGCAGGGGGAATGCGTACCTCAGCTCTGGGCTCACATGTCGCATGAGCCAGTCGAAGGGCCGGCAGTTCAGTTCAGCTTTTATCTGTGCCGGATCGTAGCTGGGCTGGCTGACTGTGCGGAGATTCAATGGAATTTGCCTGGCCGACGGTTTGAGGGCGTAGAACAAATATTTGTACTCGTCCAGCCAGGACTCGGCTATGATTTTTGAATTGCTGCGGAATACAGAATATAAGCGGAGCGAGCGGTCAGTATGTAAGCAATCGCATTGCGTGCTGGGAATGTTTATATTAAACGGTGCCCCACGGAGCCGCACAAGCGTCTGGCTGAAATAAATTGAAAAATACCAAAGGCCACCGCGCTTTTCACACCTAAGCTAGTCGTTGGCCAAACAAAAACGAACAACAACTACAACAACAACGAAAACTGAATAGAAAACCTTTCGACGGGTCACTTCAACCTACCGCAAATATGTCGCCTGTGCGCTGTCCAGCTGCACCCTCTCCAGCTCCTGTTCCAGCTCCAGCTCCTTCTCCTGCTTCTGCTTCTGCTCCTGCCCGAACTGAAGTGGAAACTCAAAGGCATGGGCCGGCCGGAAAATATGTCCAATTCGACTGCAGGGCACGATCTCAATTTGTCCGCCGCAAAGCCACAACTTAATGGCCAACTCAATGGACTCGCCACCCCAAATCTACAGAGCAAAAGGAAATGAGATGTTGCTCTGCACTTTTTAGTTTCTCTCTCCCTCTCTCACTCTCTCTCCCTCTATCTCTGTCTCCCCACAATTCCCTCAGTACTCAATTCAGTGTACGGCGCAAAGTTGTGTGTCATGGCTTGACATAAGCAATTAGCACACACTTGCCACAAGCACAAGTTAATTAGGTGCGGGCGCTTACCTCCAGATGCGGATTGAAGCCATGCAGCTTGTGGAACGACTCGCGCGAGATCACCAAGATGCCACCCGCGAAGGCTGGACTGGCATATGGCTGCGCCAGCGCCTCCTTCTCGGCCAGCACCCGGGGCAGCCAATGGAAGTGCAGGCTCCAATCGAAGCCGCCTTTCAGCAACTCATTCCCGGCCATGTAGCTCAAGGTCTCGGGTTCAATGGGATCCAGCACCGGGCTGACCGCAAGCCTAGAGTTCAGCGCCAGCCTCTCCAGCAGGGGCTCCAGCCAGCCATCATTGACCTCGCAGTGACTGTCCAGAAACAGCAAATAATGGCCGCTGGCCAGCCGAGCGCCCTCGTTGCGTGACCAAATCAGGCCCTTGCGGCTCAGATTGCGTCTGAAGATGAGTGTGGGCCGCCCCCGCTGCACATTTGCTGCGGTCATGTGCCGTTCGAGACTCGCCAGCAGGCCGGCTGCGAATGGCGAATTGTGAATGGAGAGCGGGAGAGAAATACATGAGAGAGAATGTCAATATTGCAGCTCCTTGCAAGGCTTACCATCCTCACTGCCGTCGTCTATGACAATGAGCTCGTGCAGATACTCCTCGGGCGTTCGACTGATCAGCGTTAAGATCGTGCGCAGCAGCATCGAGCGCGCCTCATTATGAAAGCAAATCACAACGCTGAGCTTGGCCCGGCTGGCTTGAGGCAGCCTATAGCGGCGCCTGTTGCAGCTGCAAGTAATTATATATCAAGTTTAAGTTTCCATGGCTGACTGACTGCCAGATACCCTGTATAGCTCATAATATGTTATTGGTTTATTATGATATAATATAGAGATCTATTTAACCTATTTAAGCTTCTTTCTTATTTATAAATAATCACTTCTCAATCTATTCGTTGCTATACAGACCTGTGATGTCGTGTCGTTGGCAGGAGACGCACGGCAGCCAGATTGTCGCTCAGCTGGCGATTGTATTGATAGAGTGCGTGCGGCTGATCGGGCGTATGCGTAATAAACTCGCGCCATTCGAGTTGGTGTAGGCTCAGTTGTTGCTGCTGCAACAGCAACTGGAAAACACACACACACACATACATATATATACACATAAAAATTGTTGTCAATGCTAAATATTGATGTACTCAACACTCACTCGATGGCTGATTAATTCATCGATTAGGCCAAAGCGCACTACCAAAACGACAATCAGCAATTGCATGGCCAATACAGTCAAGACGCCGAGCAGGCAACAGCGCAGCCGGCGATGCAGGCGGCCGGACATCGCGGCGTTTGCGACCGACTGTATGCCACATGCTGGCAGCAAACGCGAAAACCCGTAACGCCGCACGCGTCGTCAATGAATGCGCACCGTAATCGGGTTTCTGGGCAAATGAATATCAGCTGAAAACCGATATTTCAGGTGTGTTTACTTGCTTCGATGTAGCCATGAGTGTGTGTCGTCATAAAAAGCTGAAAATTGAAAACATAAAACTGGTCGCTCAATTTTTCCCCCCTCTCTCTCTCTCTTTCTTGCTCGAGCTAGCCCTCTCGCTTGCTCCCACTATCTGGCTGGCTGCTGTCAAACTTGTTGCTGATAAGCAGTTCGATAAGTTTGGCAAATATTTGTGTGCAGCTCGCAAGGTGTTAATTATACCACATGAAATCTATATATTTATTACCTGTCATGCCTGTCAGTTAGTGGGCGTACACATACACACATATCTCCGAAAATACATATAGATTTACAAAACAAATTAATATATTGCGTGTTATCATTTGTAATCACAGTTTGCTATTTCAATTACATAATATAAAAGCACTTGACAAAGTTTTTTGCTTGGATTAGTTCGGAGGGCGATGGATTAGACAATATCTGTTTGTGCTTGTTGTTAAAATAATAATTTATATATTTACAAATTACAATTAACTGAAAGAGAATAATAACATCATGTGTTTTTAATGATTGTTTATTTAATTTTATTTTACTTTCGTTATAAGCCAACCAGAGTTATAAACACACATATATAACATAGATATACACATTTATATTTTCAAAAATAATAAAAAAGAAAAATAGTCCCAGCTTTGGTTGATCGTATCTAAACATTTCAAAACCGAGCTATGCATTAGCTCCATTCGTATTCCATTAAACTAGAATTTATTTGCAATTGCTTATCTTCTAAATCTTGGTTACATGTCAGAGCCAAGCCTATGGGGAATTAGTTGGTTAAAATAAATGTTTATGGCTTTAACAATGAAACCTAAATAAATTGAAAATGAAACATGGCCTGACCTGGGCTAAACAAATAATCAGTCGGCTTAGTCATACTCGCATTGCTCCCCTACTGCATTGATATCGATTATCAGCCCATTTGAGAGTGAAGTCAGCTGATATGAGTAAGCAAGCAAGCTTCATGCTTTTTCTGATGTGATTTAATTTGAAATTGTTTAGCAAAGCGGAAGTAACTCATTCACTTAGCAACAAATCGAATGCCACACACACACACACACACACACATACAGAGACACACACGCACACATACAAAGCAGGTAAATTGAAGTGTTACTTCCGCATTGCATTAGGGTACAGATGCTACGTGTTGTTGCTGTTGATGTTGTTGTTGTTGTTACTACCATTGCCAGTGCTGTCCAGCTGCTGATTGACTTACGTGTTCCTCGTTTTAGTTTTCGGTTTGTCGTTGTAAATTTGTTGCCAGCTTTTACGTGCAACGGAAATGCATTTTCCTAGTCACGTTCAACTGCCAGACCCAAGCCAGACCCAGACTCAGACTCAGACAACTCCGCAGACCAATGTCCAGTTGTTGTTGTTGTTGTTGTTGTTACCGCTGCTGTTGCTGTCCACAGGTTAGCTAAGAAATATAACCCAAATGGCGCAACAGCGACTGGCAAAGATTCAGATTCATGTATTTCTCTTTGCATTTTTTAAGCCCAGCCAGCTCTATTCCTTTTATTATTTTCTCTGGTTGGCCCCGGCTCACTCGGCGCGCCAATTTATTAGATGGCGCGTGATCCATGTTTGCCTCCATGCTCCATAGATTAAAGTGCTTTTTAATGATGCACCAGCAGCGATCTCTAATTGTATGCAGTGTCGCGTGCGCAGCTCCATAATTAAATAGGCGCCGCTTGAGGGCCACGACCGGGAGTATTTCGACGGCAGCAAATTCAATATTCAATATGTTTTCAATTTGCCATTGTTGGCTATGGGCATGGCAATCGCATCAAAGGCAAACGCAAATGCCGTGAAGCAAATAAAAATAAAACGAAATTATGTCAATAAATGAATTATAAGGCGCACGCACAACGCTGCGTATACGCGATGCCCAACAGCTCAGCTAGTCAAAGCACACAGACAACGCAGCACCTAATGGCCATGTAAATGTGCCTCTCTCTCTCTCTCTCTCTCTCTCTCTCGCACACTCCACTCCTTTCTCGATGTGTGTGTCGCCATGATTATTATTATATTGCCACTTACACATGCGTGGGCCGCCGTGTGTGTTATGATAATGTTAACAGCCGAGCTTCTAAAATTTTATTAGCCGTCGACTTATGGAACTTTGAAAATAATAACAACAGCAGAGAAAGTGTTTTACCCATCCTCACACAGCTTTTCGCTCTCCCTCTCTCTCTCTCTCTAGCTCTGTCTCTCATTCTGTTATGCAGAGCTCTTGCTTCTCGAGCATAAAGAATATTGAGGAAATTGCTTTCTTTGCACTCACGGCTCAGCATTGAGGCAGCCAGGACTTTCCAGGACTTGCCACGACGGGGCGCACTCATTTCGAAATTGCTGCGTATTATCATAAAATTTTATATACACACACACAACCACACACACACACACACACAGGCACTCGCACAGAGTACGTGCATACTCATACAAATGCTTTGGCGATTTGTTTTGCTTTGTTTGTTTCTTTCTCTTTTTTCCGGCACAATTTTTCGCAAATATTTTCATTGAGGTTTTTGGTTTTTATTTTCATTTTTGTTTTCTTTTTTGCTGCATACTTGGCCTACACAAACGTGTTTAGTTTACAGTGCATATGAAAGTATTTTCTAAAATATTTGTACACGTACAATTCAGTTGGCCGGAGCAGCGCTGCAGCTCCAAATATTTGATTTGATGTCAAGCATTAATGCTCGAAAATTTCATTTCGAGTTCTTTGTAGCAAAAAGACAAAACGAACTGTAAAATAAGAGAATAGAGGAAAATAAAAGAAAAACGAAAATCGTATAATTTGAATGATTTCCCATTTGCAGTTGGCATAAAAGAGAGAAACATTTTAATGATGTTTACACAGTTTTCATGTGCCATTCCATTTACCGGCAGTCGGTGCCGTCTGTTTCACAGCATTATGTGCTTTATTTCGATTGACTAGAACTTTTCACTATGCCTGGCGGAGTACTTTAGTTGATGACATTATCGCTGCAATACAAAAGCTTTCTTTTGCCATCCGCCATCCGCCCCGGCGTAGTGCTTGTCTGTCTGTTGGTCTTGGGAGGCTGCTGCCACTTCATTTCTGAGTTTACAAAGTTTTTTGTTGATGAAACAAACACCGTGAGCGAGCACAGACACACACAGACAGTCAGACAGACAGCCAGACAGAAAGATGGTCCATTGAATGGATGTGACATGATTCGTGAAACCAGCAAATGTGAGTATCTCAGTATTTACATTTTTGCCAACTGCCAACCATTTGACAGCGGAAATTTGTCATTAATTTAATTGCTCAGTTTGACTTTATTTATTTATTATTCAAATATTTTGAATTGAATCTTCAAATGTCTCTGGAAAGTTTCTAATTTTCATTCAAACTTTCCTTTTCCCTTCTTCATCATAGTTGAAGTGGCTGCTTAAACGATCTCCTCGTCCACTATGGACGCGGCAGCTGTTCGGAGCATTTTGCTTATGAGCCTTTTCTCTCTCAGCAGCCTCACATAGACATCGGCGTTCGATGGTACGGAACAATTATGACCATTAATGTTCATGCCACAGAAGGCGCCTTTCCACACGTAGGGTAGTCCATAGCTTCGAATGCATTCATCTGTGTATTGGGTATTCTCCACGCAGTGCACGGCGGGTGCTAACATCCTCGCATCCCTATTGAGAGTCTGGCATTGATCGAGTGGCATTTGAGGCACGAATCTCGGGATCGGCCTGGAATAGTTCTTATCCCAATTCAGTTGCATAACATTGTCCTGGGGCCTCACGGCCTGCGTGCAAAAGGGAGGCGGTGTATCAAACTCTTGGTCCAGCGGCTTTTCCAGATGCAAAAAGGACAACAGATTAGAGCCACTCGACATCGTGTAATCTGAGGAAGGCGAGCTACTGGACGCTGTTTGGGCGGTGCCATCGGTGAAATGCACAATGATCTTGGGTGGCTCCTTCCTGTCCAGACAGCTCGTGACTGTGAGCACCGTCCGGTTGTTGACCACGATTCCGGAGCAGATGATATTATAATTGAACCTAAGATACACCAGATGTGAGAGCAAATCCTTCTGTTTAGATCTAGAACGCCGACTGTGACGATGGTTGATGGCCCAATGGGCAGGATTGTATCCAAAGTGGGGTCTCCAATCGTTCCATTTATACGCCATTTTGATCAAAGAATTGCCCGCTTTATCCGGCGACAATTTATCAGCCCTCAACTCACTCTGCTGGCAGACAAGCAAGAGCACTAGGGCTAGTCGTATGATTTTTGATAGCATTTCAAGTAGCGAGCAGTGACAGCGGTACCAGAGTCTATGTCTGTTTCCACTTTGAGTAGCTCACACCTGTGTCTTATGCATTTTGCTACAGTTGATGACGTTGGAACTGTGCATTCGATAAGGTGCAACAGGTTGCATCGAATCGATTCATTGCAGCCATTACTACGCCGCAACTTGGACTCTTATTGCTTTCAGATGAACTCAGGTTTACTTATTTTCGAATGTTATTTGCGTTGTATGTAAAGTTAATGGATACCAAGATTTTGTAATTTACAGATTTTGGATACCACTTGTGCTTTGGAATGTACACACATTTTAACCATATGATTACGCTCTGAAAGTTTCATTAAGATTGTATATCTACAAAAGATATTAATCAATAAATAAATTGTCATAATACTGCCCACATTGCAGCGCAGCCCAAGCGCAGCCGCTGCTTACTGCGCAATTAGCAGAGCGCGTGCTTATCAGTGCATGTGTATGCATGTGTGCATAAAAGAAGTGCAGAATGAGTAGAATATCAGCTTAGAGGGTTCAGGGTATCTCCTAGTCGAGCAGCCTCGACTGGAGTCTTCTTACTTGGTTTATTCTGGATAAGGGTATACAAAATGCCATACAAAACAGATTTAATATCCAGGAACCTATAAAATTTTGTCTTCCACCTGGGATTCGATGATTCTAGCTACCATTCTTCTTTCGAATGCCTTCTTATTCAGAACGAGGGCATACAGATCGAATTTCCTGCTCGGGAGGCACCTCCGACCCATCAAGTTGATGCCACATATTTGATCTTTGAAAATAAGCGGGGAGCCGTAGTTACCGGAACAGCCAGTGAAATTAGACTCATTCGTATTCCCGATGCAAACTAAAAACGCATCTGCATAGCTGAAAGTCGTCTCATTTACCATAGCGCGACAATATTTATGGGGCTTTACTGTGACCAATTCATTGATCACCCCATGTGGCCCATATAAGGACACCTGGGCCCAATCCTCAGGCTCCAGCAGCTTGGTGCAGGTGGCGGGTATTATGGCATCATCTATCAGAGGCTGGTTCAGGTTGATTTCGGCTATCGTATAATTGTCAGCCATTGTTACAGATGTGGAATTTACTGTAATCATCTTGCCCTTTAAGGTCTGTATAGTTATGTGATCTGATTTTATGTCCTTGACGCATTTCATAGTGGTAGCCACAACACGGCTGCCTATCAGTGTTCCCATGCAAACATTTTTCCGGCCGTCAAAGATGCGCACCATTAGTTGGTCCACGTTCACTTTCTTGATGGGTCCCAGTCGGCCCACGCTTCCAGCTGTTTCGTTTCGATTTACATTCACCGTAAGCTCGCCAGGTGCAGCTGTGGTGTCTGCCGCAAAGTGGGAATACCGCGGCACTGGGCTGTAGTCCTTCTGTAAGCCGTGCCTATGCTGTCGCCTGTAATCGGACAGCATATAGCGATGATAGTGATATTGGGGCTCTACGCTGGTCAACTCGCCGGCAAGGAGAATCGATAGCGATAATAGCGACAGGTGAAGCGTTGTCATCGTTGGAAACTCGCTTCTAACTGCCTGAAATGCAAATCAGTGTATATCTCAGCCCCGTCAAGGTTTGTTTACACAATCTGTTTCTGACATGCTACAGTCCATTTCTCGGTCTAATAGAAGTAAATGGATTGATAGCCGTATCGGTGACCTGTTTATAGATTGGACGAGAAAGATTTTTGAAAATGGATGGAAATATATACTTATGTACTATATATATATATTTATTAAATTTTTATTTTGAATCATTTTGCTTTAGTACAAAAGATATGACAGGAGCTTCCTTTGAATCCTGTGTTACCATCAGACGATGTAAACTGAACTATGCCTTTGCTGCCGGTGTAGTTACTTCTGATGTATTTACCACTTCTGTAGATTGTGTAATTTGTGGCTCTGATGTTGTAGAATTCTCTGTTGGTCCAGCTGCACTTGGTGTTGTAGAATCCGGTGTTGGTCCAGCTGCCCCAGGTGTTGTAGAATCCGGTGTTGGTCCACTTGGCGCTGCTGTTGTAGAATTCGGTGTTGGTCCACTTGGCGCTGCTGTTGTAGAATTCGGTGTTGGTCCACTTGGCGCTGCTGTTGTAGATTTATTCGTTGATTCCGTTTCAGTTTCAGTCCATGCTTCAGTTTGCTCCGATTCAATATTTGTTGTAGTTTCTTCACTGTCATCAAGGATGTCGGCTTCAGACGGCAATTTTGTTGATGGAGTAAATATTCTTCCAATGGAGTCTGCAGTTGTGTCCATATACAGTTTATATCTTTTTGTTGTGCGTCCTTTACTGTATTCGCCCGTGCCCGTGAAGGCTCTAAGCATATCGGTAGCGCGCTGTATGAATGGCACCGTGTAATGCATGGTATAGTAAACATCGGCTATCACACTTCCCTCCAACTCTTCACAGTTCTCGCCATAGATGTTGATGCCAGCCAGCTTTTTGTCAATGATCATCGGATCGCCGGGACGTGTGCTGCAGCCGCGCTTATTGCTCTTCACGCAGACCAAATCATCGTCAAAGGGAATTTTTCTTTTGCCAATATTGCGGAAGGCCTTCTTGCATTTTTTTTTGGAGACCAGCCTGGTCTTCAGCAGGGTTATATCGCGTGTGTAGGAATCTACATAGGATACCAGCACATGGGCGTTCGGCTTTGGCACCCTTCGGTACAGTTCAATGTAGCGATACGTTCCCTTTTTTAATTTTGTGTGCAATGCCAGAAGTGCTATCCTATGAACATCTTGATGCTGATACCTTCCGGCGGGCAAAAAGAATGCTTTCACGGGATAGACAACTCGCTCTCTTTTTCCGAAGTGATTGCCAGGCTGTATACTCATATCCCTAGCCTTGAATTCGTACGATGGGTCCAGCTCGTTGGCCAGAAAACAACGGGAGGACGTGATGATCATACGGCGTGAGATAAGAGCTCCGGCACAAATCACCGAACCTTTGTACAGAACGTTCACGTAGTAGCTCAGGTGAATACTGGGATCAAATGGTGGCAAAGTTTTTTTTATGTTCGGATTGAAATCACGTAAAAACAATGCTGTTGCATTATAGTCAACGTGCTTGGAGCTCATGTGCGCCCTATTGTAATAGGTTGGACGATGATACTTCTCATCGAACGAGCTCAGCCATTTCCCAGCGGCAATATGCACACTGATCACTGCCAACAGAATCACAAATTTGTCCTTATGCCGTTGCATCTCTAGTTCTACTGATTGCAAACCTGAAAATGTTTCACTAAATACCCATGCGCTTACCATGTCGAATGTAAAACAATTCCAATTGGACACGATTTTTAGATCAACTATATTTACATAAAGTAATGTTTTATTCTGAAGTCAAGGGTTTGTCAGCTAGTGGTAATCATTCAGCAAGTGAAAGGTAAGTGTATTGTCAATATTCGACTTTCGGCTTTCCCCCTAACGGCCTTTGAATTGCACTCAACAGGTGTTCAGCATTCCTCAAAGCAGAAGGAAATGCCAAAGATTGAGGCAAAGCCTATAAATATCAACAAAAAGGAAATGAAATAATATTATTTCAGATGATGCTAATTGGCATACGGGGGCCGTTCACGACATTATCCCGTGACAAGCAGCCGGTATGTTTGAAATTAAAAATGGAAAATGTTATCATCAATGTGCGACTGGATGAATGTGAAAAGGACTGAATGAGCGGAAGCTGCCAAAGAACTATGTAACGAAGGTTATAGATAATTAATTTACGTTGATTAAAGTTGCCACAGCTGTCAGAGGCAAAGGAGGCCGTCGACAAAGTGCAGCCTGTTGTCGAGACAGCCGGAAATTGGAGTGTTTGCAATATGTGCGCTGGGCAAGGGCAAGGCTGGGCAAGCTGAGCTCCAGCCCAGGCATAGGTATTTCCAACTGACGGCGACGGCGTCTAATTGATGGGCTGCAGTCAAAGTCTTTTTTATGCAAATGCTCTAAAGTTGGTAGCCAACTGACTAACTGACTAACTGCCTAACTGACTGCATGTCCTCTGTCGACTGTCCTCCGTCGTCTGTCGACTGGCTGCCCGGTTCGGGCTCACTCATCAATTATCTAGAATATGTTACACTTGACACATAACTTCACTGACATATGCTTACTAGGCCGTCAGCTGCGTCAGCTGCGCAGTCAGCTCTCCGGCCGTAATTGCCGGTCATTATGCTTAAGGGATAAGGTACTTCAAGAGCTTGCCGTTGCAAAAGGTATATGCTTAAAATGGAGCCTGACGTTACCACCCACCCACTCCTGCACCTTCGACAGGAAGTAGGCTTGAAAAATATTCCAAATGCTCAACTACAATATACTCTCTATTATTTCACATAGTAAGTAGAACTTGAGGTATAAACTATATAACAATTATTGCTGGGAATGATGCAGCCCTTATGATCCATAGATCTTTATGTATATCTTGATTTATTTTATTTTACTATCTAGACGGTTTGTATTCTCTATAAGCAATTACGACTTAAGGCACCTGCAGCTGTCTATTCAGCTCTAATTTACTCCCACATAGTATACCCTCGTGCTCAGCATTGTGTGCAGGGTATTGAGAAAAAGGCCAAACTTATATGTGGCATATATACATAGCGTTTGGCTTACACGTGTTTTAGGTCCTCACTTGACGCATCGCGTTGAAATTTATGCGTACGTGCTCAGTTGAAAAACGCTGCCGACGACAACCCCGGGTCATTTATTATTAGCTGTGAAGCGCGTGCCCGGATACGGACAACGGACAAATGGGCAAATGGGCACATTGCCTGGCTCAAGGTTTTACGGTCTGCCTGGAATATAACTTTTGGGTTAACCAAGATGAACAAACTCTGCGCAATATATACAGTTTTTATTTGCATACTTTGAGAGGCTGTCGACAGAAGGTGTTCAAATTCAATACACACCCAGCAGGATGTCAAAATTGTGTGCTGAAAATTGAATTTAAGAGAAATGCTTTTAAATGAAAATTATATTTATTGAGTTTTGCGAATCAATTGAACTCTAATTAATTATGCTTTGAAATGCAGTCAAATTAAGGTTTCCGTACACACCCACACACACACACACATACAAATAGTGGAGCTGGGTGAGATGTGCTCCTGACGACTGCAAATTACATGTCACTCATACGCCATGAGTGCCGAGATATAAACGTAAATACTTGTCGAGCTGTTGGTGCTGCTCCTGCCCCTGCTCCTGCTTCTGCTGCTGCTGTTTTACAGCTCATTATGCAACATGACGCAATCCTTTAGGAAAGGAAAGAAAAAATTACGCATTATATATGACGTCTTGCTGCTATTTTCATATGCAGTCGGCAAAGCTGCCTGATTTGTTGATAAGTGTTCAGCAGAAGAACAAATTCAATTTGCCCATCAAAAGTAAAATGCTTTAAAATGTTAACAGCAGCAGAGTCCAAGCCAGTTGCATGCAGCTCAGTTACAGGTTTTGCTCCAGGGTCAGTTCCAATGTGTGCTAAGTGAGCGTGTGTGTGCTTGTCGGCATGCTTGTGCATTTGTCTTAAGCTGTTTGGACATGCATTCAAAGACAAAGAGAGAGAGAGAGACAGAGATAGACAGTGCAAGCGAGAGCGTATTGCAATGAGCGTTAACTGCTACAGGCAGCGGCATCTTCTTTGATTGCACCACTCGAATGTGCGCCCACCAGGACCCGCAAGCAGCGCCACATACTTTTGCAAGAGCTACTGCCCCGGCGAGCGAGCGTTGTCTTCTACTCAAACACAGTTCGTTGCACATTTGAACATGCCCTCAGAAAATAAATGCAAATTTAGCAATGGCAAACACCCATACCAGAAGACCACACACACACACACATGCACAACTCACACACGTTGGCAATAGAAACAGCGCTGCTCCTTTTGTAGCCGCTGCACATTTCCTGAACGCGTTTGCCACGTTGTCGCCGGCACTCTTAGCTTTCTCTCTTTCACTCTCTGTGTCAGTTACTCCCTCTCTCTCTCTCTCTCTCTCTCTGTCGCACTCTTTCTCAATATATTATTTGTATAAATTTTCGATTTTCTGCTTCAACAGTCTGTCTGGCGCTGCAGCTCGCTCGCATCTCTTCACTTTATTTATTTCTCAAGAATTCAGTTTGCTCTTTTTCTATTTTCTTTTCTCATTTTTCCTATTGTTTTTCTGCAAACTATTTTTCCCATTCTGGCTATATTTTTTTCACTCCCACATGCTTTGTTGCTGCTGGTCCTATGGTTGTTTTTCATCCTGTTCTATATAAGCATTATAGGTAAAGGATTCGCACATTCGGTTTGACTCGAGTGCATTGTGTTTTCCTTACATTATTTTTTTTTAGTGTTGGGGGCTTTGTTGCTTTTGTCTGCCTTGCAGCTTTAACAATGAGAGGAAGTTAGTTTTTCTTTGGCCGCTTTGAAATTTGATTGCAACAGAAACCCAAATCAGGCCAAATAATGAGCAGATACTCTTTATCGATGTGAAACATAATGCACAAAGTTAAGGCTGCTTTAATTTACTTTTTATTTTCACATTACGCTCGCTCATTAAGTTTTATTGCATTTTCATAGTTCTATGCCAAGCCACACATACACACACACACACACACACACACACACATGCACACATATACATACCCTCGCCCACATATCACTCAGGCAGCTTTGCTTGCTCGGCATCTGCTCTTAAACGTTGACTACTGCCTGGCGGCTGATGCTACTTAATGGCTAATTAGAAGTATAATTTACACCTTAATGACCCTGGAACAATGCTCGAGCTGTGCACGGCCTGGCATGGCCTGGCATGGCGCTTTAAGCTGACAACACAAGCTCACTTAGCAAGCAAACATGGCTCCTGCTCTACACCTTCTCTATTCCACACACATACATATATACATACATATTCGTTTTCTAGACGCAAAGCTTTATGTGAAAATCAGCGTCCATTAATAAAGACAGCAAGCGAAATGTTACGCATACGCCATGTACGCGCGCTAAGCATTAATCACAGCGGCAATATGCATATACCATCTATAGCATATATGTATATAAAAAGGATAAATATAAATTTGTGCGTGCCTTTGTGTGAGTGTGTGGCGTAGCGTATTAATTTCATCGCAAAAGCCTTTTGCAGTGTGAATATATGTGTGTGTGCGATTTTAGACAGTTTGATTTATAGCCTCGACTAAAGTGATTCTAGCCTTTTGCTAAATTTATTTTGCTGCTGCTTTAAAGTCCTATTGAAACGTACCGAACATGTTTGACAGCCAGCAATATGATTATCTATACTTATCAGCCAAAATGCATGGCACAATAATTTGACTTAATAATAAGAGAGCATGCAGTAACAGAATATCGTATGGCTATGCGGATGGCTATAGCAGCTGGCAACGTTGAGTTGAATGAGTTCCATGCAAAAGGGAATATTTTGTCACGCACACAAAATCATGCGAAGCGTCAAAAATGTTGTCACCTAACATGGTTATCCGGCGTAGTTATTCGGTGCCTGGCACACACCTGACCGGGGCCAGAGTGTTGGGTGTTGGGTGTTGGCTGTTGGCATTCGCCAGTTGGTAGTTGGCAGTTTGCAGTTGGCAATACAATTTGCGAGTCGCCATGTAGCTGCTATTCAATTGTGTGACATATTTTAATTTAATAAACTGCCAGCTTGGCATTATCACAGCTAACAAATTGCCAAATGGCAGCTGTTGAAAACTTTCAGCTCAACTTCCTCAACTGACACGCTGCGTATACGTAACGGGTGGCCGTGTGCGCTGACATCAGCAAACGGGCCCTTTGGCTAGCCATAATGCCATAAACTTTAAGTGCAAGAACCCAGAGCTTCAGATTAAAGATCAATTACCTTTTACGCAGAGGCATAAATCCCTTTAAAGCCACCAAATCTAGACTGCGCCCTCAAAAAAATAAAACGTGCTAGTTGCTAACGTATCAAAATTTTTACTCTCCTATTTTTTTTTTTTTTTTTACTTTTTTTATTTTTATTTATGACCGCTAAAAATTCAAAATGTACGGCAATATAAACGGCCAAACGCACCGCGACAAGGACAATCGTCAAGGCATTAAAAAAAAAGGAAGAAAAAAAATAAAATAAAGAGAAGCAGAAAAAATATTACAACATTTTAATAGCGAAAATGAAGATTTATTGCCCGCAACGTAAACGCGACCAAAATGTGCCACAAAAACTGAGGCTCAACTAAAAAGCGCGTTCTAACAATGCCCAACAGGAGCGCAGAGAGTCTTACTCAATTATTAGCTATGCAAATACCCTGTACGACAGACATACAAAAATCCAAATCGCATCCAATCTTTGCACAGTTCAGACTCGCAAAGTTTTTGTCGTTTTGCAGCCCTGGCCAAAAAAATGGTTTATTTGTCATTTCGGTATTTTTTCACATTAGTTTTTAATTTTTGGTATTTTTAGCTGAAGTCAAAGCAGAAACAGCTTTTTCATGTGACTTTTGCCTATCCACGCTGATCTATCCTATATTAGCTCCAACTCCAAGGTATATGGCAACACCAACAATTGACGCGTCAGGAGCACAAAAATGTGCAAAGTGTAAAAATCGTTGCCACGTCACGTCAGCCGGATGATAGGCCAGTCGCAAGTCCAGCCAAACCAGCCAGCCAACCGGCGAGTGGGCGGCAAACAATGGGAGTGACCAGCTCGGGGCTTTAGCTCGCTTATCGGCCCGATTGTAGCCAATGTTGTTGTTGTTGTTGTTGCTGTTGAACCTAGCGCACGTCGCAGTTTGTTAGCCGCATGCCAAAACCGGCCAAAAATCGTTGGCTTTGGCATTGGCATC